ATTGAGCAGTTAGGCTAGCAACTTCCTTACATAAACCAGCAGGTAGGATAAAGACTGACATAGAGAAAACCGGCAATGCATTAATGACAGCCCTGATAAGCACTTCTTTACCTGCAGGTGATAGACATTTATTTCTCCAGCTATTCAGTCTGCTCTTGACCTTAGACAACACATACTGAAAGGCTTCTTTCTTAGCCTTGCCTATGCCAAGAGGGAGTCCCAAGTATCTTGTGGAGGATTGCACATTGATGCCATTCAATAGATAACAAACTCTGCTCTGAACCGCAGCTGATGTATTTTTACTGAAAAACACAGATGACTTTGCTAAATTTACATGTTGGCCTGTGAAGTTAGCATAGGACTGCAATATTTTCAACAGCCTATTGACTTGAGGAACCTCTGCCTTACAGAACACCAGTATATCATCTGCAAACATAAGATGTGTTAATTCTGGACCTCCTTTAGACAGTCTTAACCCCTTGAGACATCCTTTCTCAGCTTCCACTTTGATTTTAGCTGTGAGCAATTCAGACACAATGATGAACAGGTAAGGGGATATGGGATCCCCCTGCCTAATTCCCCTTGAAGCAGTAATATAACCCTGTGCTTTACCATTCAAATTGAAAGAGTAAGTAGGAAACTGAATGCAAGAGAGAACCCATTTGATGAACATAGAGTGAAATCCCATCCTCACCATAGTTAGCTGAATTGACTTCCATTCTAAGCAGTCATAGGCTTTAACAACATCTAATTTCAGAGCCATAAAAGAATTCTTCCCACTTCTATGTCTATTCAAAAAATGAAAGACTTCATGCCCAAGAACCACATTATCAAATAAGCATCTACCAGACAAGAATGCAGTCTGATTCTCAGATATACACATGTGGAGACAGTATTTCAGCCTTAAAGCCAAGATCTTTGATATCACTTTGTAAAAAACAGCACATAAGCTTATAGGCCTGAATTGAGTGATGGAAGTAGGGTTGATACATTTGGGAATGAAGGTGATTAGGGTATGTTTCCAGTACCTTAGCATTTGACAGGATTCAAAGAAACTTCTGACCGCAGTGCATATATCTCCCTTCACTATTGGCCAGAAGTGCTGGAAAAACAATCCAGTCATTCCATCCTCACCAGGTGCTTTCTCAGGATGGATGCTGAAAATAGCCTTCTTGATCTCTGCTTCCTCAACTGGTGCAATGAGCAGCCTGTTCATCTCTTCTGTGATGGACTGATTCACATTAGGTAATAGTTCATGACCATCTTTAGAGCCTCTAGACTGGAACAAGTCCCCATAATACTCAGTGACAGCCTTTTGGATTTCAACAGGATTATCAGTCAGTCTATCCCCAGCCACCAGAATTCTCTCTACTGCATTCATTTTCCTTCTCTGAACTGTTAATGCATGAAAAAACTTCGTGTTGTTGTCCCCTTCTTTCAGCCACAAGGATCGAGCTTTTTGTTGCCAGAAAGCTTCTTCAGAACAATTGGCCTCATTCAACTCTTTCTGAATCCTCTCCCAAACTTCCCAATTCCTATCACCCCCTTCTTGCCTCATGTCCTCAAGTTGTAAAGAAAGCCTTTCGATTCTCACAGCATTCTCTGATTTGAAATGTTTGCTCCAGATAAGCAAGGCCTCTCTGGCCTTCTTTATTTTTTCCTTGATTACAAACATGGGTGTCCCGGATGTTGGTGAGTCCCACGCTGTTTGCACCACTCCTTGGGCTTCCTGTCTTCGAACCCACCTTTTATCAAATTTAAACCTTTTCTTTTGCCTGTTCTGAGTGCCCTTAGTATCAATGATCAACATACAATGGTCTGAGGCACTCCTAAACCAGCTGGTAACACTTGTGCTAGGGAACTGAGAAAGCCAGCCGACTGATACAAACATCCTATCTAGCAGTTCTTCAATAAACTCTCCCCCTGCTCTGTTGTTTGCCCAAGTATACTGTAAACCCCTTGTAGGTATCTCCTGGACTCCCATTTTGTTCAAAAATTCATTAAAACCCATGTAGCTCCCATGTGATCTCTGTCTTCCACCCTTTTTGTCTTCAGGTCCTCTAAGGTCATTCCAGTCTCCTGCCATCCACCACTGATCACCCCACTTATCCTTTTCCACCAGTAACTGCTCCCATTGGCCTTCTCTTTCAGATTTAACAGGGCTCAAATACACAAAAATGGCCCATTCAGACCTTAGTTGGTTATTTATTTTATACTGGACAGCTATATAGAAATAAGAATTATACATATGCAGGATCTCCACCTCCTCATTCCATAACAGCAAAAGCCCACCACTGCTACCCCTTGAATCCACACAAAAGAACATATCCCTATAGCCAAGCTTAATACAAACTGATCTGGAAAAATTATTTGGTTTTCTAACTTCTGATAGAAACAAAAAATTGGGGTGATGGATCCTTATTGATTCCTTGATCTGGGGAACTGTAGAGGGCCCACCCAGACCTCTACAGTTCCACACCTGAGCTATCATTGGCACCTTGAGGGCCCTTCAAGGCTGGCCCTCACTTCCTGTTGTTGATCTGTCTTAGATTTTTTATCATAAGGCTCACTTGGTAATTTTTCTGATTCCTGCTCCATTGCTTCTGTTCCTGGTTCCCTGGTTCTTTTGACAGGAAGAGAAGAAGTCCCCATAGCAGAGTCAGTGCCATTAGCAAGTATCCTGCTTGGCTTCATTATATTCCTCTTCCAAGTTTTTTTCCCTGCCAATGTCTCAGGTAATATTCTTTTATGGACCACTGTCACTTCTTCAACAACCTGCGGTTCTGCTTGAATAGGCTTAAGCTCCAATTGAGGATCAGAATTGGAAATCTGTAGAATCTTGTTCCCTATAGAATTGATAGCAGACTGGTCAAAAATAACAATACCCTTTTCCCTATTTTCTTTAGATGATCCCTCCCCCAAATTGGATGATTTGGATTCAGGTCTATCCACACTCTTCCCTTTATGGCCAGCACGATAACTTTCCTCATGTGTGCCCCCTATAATCCTTTCATTTCCAGCAACTGTCATAAGAGTTTTATTTGGAGGGGAAGGAGATCCTCCATCTTGGCCTGAAGAAGGGTCTGATTTAGCCCAGCTCAATCCTTGCAATCCCTCTGAGGCAGCCAACCACTCACCATATTGCCCCTTTTTCAAGCCATTGTGTTCAACATCGTCCACCTTCTGAGCACAAGCTTTCTCAAACGGCATTACTGTTGAGCAATGTAATCTTTAGAAGTTTCTATGACTTCAATGTGTTTCGCTTCGTTCGTTGGCTCAAGACTAAGGTTCAATATAATTGACGAGTTGGAGAATTGACTTTAAAGACCATTTCTTTTTTATCTAGATTGGATATTACTTAGAAGAAATCATCACTCTATTAAGAAATGGGCCAACTCGGAATAGAATGGTAAGCCTTTGTCGAGTCGAGCTGAGCTCCAATTATTGATACTTAAGATCGGCTCATTAGATAAACGATTCAAGCTCGAATCATTATAGATCAGGCCTTAACATGCAAAATTATGTTACAAAATAAAAAAAATTACTTATAAAAACCCATATATTTTTCAAGTTTAACGAGTCAAATTGAGCTTGACCTAATTAACTAAAAGAGTACTGAAGCAAGGCTCATTTATCCAACGAGTCGAACACGAGCGGCTTGTTACGTTTAACAAATTACCAACAATCACATCACAAATAAATCAGTATAAAAACTATTATCTTAATGATGTTTATCATAGTAAAAGTATGTCATCTATATATATATAATTGCTGGCAAACTTCAATAAATTTTATTCAACCAACAATTAATAATAATATGAGTTCAATTAATAAAAATAGGTGTTCATTTAATACAAATATGTTCACCATTTAATAAGAATATGTAACTTTCAGTTACACAATTTATTTTGACAGGTCCCATTTTCGAATGTGCCCATTTCTATCATGCCTTTTTATGTCCTGAAATACAAAATATTTTTGTTTTTATTTTGATACTATATATTTTTTGGTATTATATAAATACATATTTCATAATTAATGACGACAAATATCTCTATTTTCTATTGCAGTCATACAATAATAAAAAAAAATATATTTTCGGATATTACAAAGATTCATCAAATATTTTGAAACATCAAATTCTAGAGTCACGAGTCTAAGGTGTTTAATGATCATGATTTGTTGTGATGGGAATTATAACGATAGAAAAAACCAAGAATGTTGTATATAAAAAACTGTTTAATAATATTTAGATTCACTTTTTTAATTTTTTTTTCTTATTTATCAAGTTATGATTTTTATTTAATTCTATATTTTTAATTACTTTTTCTTCTATTATATCATTTTTCGTGCAAATGCACGGGGTAAAACTAGTTTTATAATGAAAGTATACATATTTATTAAAAAAATGTATCTGTTAATGGTTAGATCGACCTAACAGGATACCTACCATCTCACATATTAATATAATCTTATAGCCACCCACCTCTTCTGCTAGCAATCTAGTATAAGGGCATTCTCATCCGTCGTCGTTCATTTAAACATCAAATACTACATCTTTCTTCCACGTCACATCTGCATCATCACTTCACTAATATCTCTTCCTTTAAACACTTCCACATTCATTAATTTAATACATGTAGTGCCTACTATAACTTTTCCTCTCCCATTTCAAGATCTATGTATATCCGTGGGCACAATATCAACTCATATTATATTATATTTTTTAGAAGCTTTTTCCGCCTTTTTTGTTGTTCTTTTGCTAACAGTGTCGTTCAACATGTTAAATGAAATATGTGAATCCCACTACATTTTAATTTAAATGATGGAATTGTATTGGTCTTAACGAGAAATTTCCATTTAAATGGTGAACCATTCAATCGAATGCAGTTGCCCGAAGCTAACAACACTGGATCTCTTATTTAAGATGAAAAATATTAAAAAATATAAATACAACATCACACCANAACCATTAGCCGGCTCGCCAAGTCTTGCTGCTGTCAGGTCTTGAGCTCTTGTACCGAGAAACAACAAACCAGAAATCTCTTCTTCTCTTTTGCTGAGATAACTCGCCGAATTCGTCCTCGGTAGAAGCAAAAGACTTTGTTTATTTGATTCGAGTATCTAGCCGGAAGGTTTTCTAAAAGAAATGTGAAAAATAAAATAAAAAAGAGAAATCTCTATCACAATTTACTGATTTACATATACTACACTTGTTGCATGAATACACTGTTGAGAAAGAACAAAAAAAAATGTTCTCAATTTTTCTTTTTGTTTTCTCCAAATTCCCATTTCATGTAGTGTGCCTCCTCAACCGCACAGCAGAAGAAAGAATGGCGACTAATATAAGTTTCTAAAGTTGGACAATCTCACGCCATGTCTCCAAATTGCTTCCACGAAAAATCTCTCTGAAAATAGATAAAACACGAAACACAATAAGTTCAGTAAATCAATTCTTTCAAAAGCAGACATTCTTAAAACACACTCCACAAACAAGTTTGTTTTGCCATTTCATCGATAAGAAATCTATGATAAGAAATCTATGTATCCAGTATTTGGGAGAATTGACCTGAAATCATCAAAGTCGGTAACAGGGTCGTGAATAAAACCTCGGTAAATTTCACTGCAGTCATATTGTGACGAACATATCCCACAATGACTATATATTAGATGTTGTTGTTGTATATGTTTCACTTTCTAACGAGGCATGGGCAAAAATTCAGAATAAGAGCAACGTAATTATGGATAATGATAATATTGTTGTTTCGCGTTAATGCATGTAAAATTTGATGGTTGAGGAAACAAAAGCCAGCAACAGGAAGTTAGTACTATTATGTCGTGCAAATAAAAGTTGTCTTTTACTTGTCTATTCCAAATACACATTCTCCAATGAAGAATGTGTATTTGTATACTTGTCAAAACGGGCTGAGGCCCGCGGGCTGGCCCGCCCCGCCAAAAGAGTGGGTTAGGCTGTGATATAAGAGGCCCGTTGGGGAGCGGGCCTAAAATGGCCAGCCCACGCGGGCTGCGGGCTTTGGTGGGGCAGGCCTGGAGGGCCGCGGACTGGCCCGCCCTTTTAAAAAAAAAATATATATATATATATATATATATATATATTAAATAAATTAATTAGGCTTATTTGCTGTTTGACCCACTCACTCTTACCTAATCCTTTTCTAATTATTTGGCCCAAACTCTTTTAATATGCTAGCCCAACATCTCAATTTTCATAACCTACTAGCCCAAACACAATTATTACGCACGCACCACAGCTAAAAAATCTGAGAAGAGTATTCTCCCCCCTTCTCTCATCTCCGCTGGTCGCTGCTTCTCTTTATCTTCTTCCTCATCGCGAGTTTTTTTTTATTTATTCTTTCTTTTGTGAATTCAAGATCATACACCCAAATTCTTGTCATAGCACATAATTCACAAAAAAATTATAGAATACAAACCCCCCAAAAAAATTTCAGAAGTTCTTTCTTGTGCCTCTGTCCACCGTTAGTTCATCTTCTCGTCTGCCCGATCTGCTCGTCTTCTCCGTCCGTCCGTTCTCCTCCTCTGCCCACCCTGCCGCAGATCTTCACAATGCTCGATTTTATCATGTTGTCGTCTGCCCTTAAAAAAATAAAAATAAAAAATTAGCGGGCCAGCCCGCCTAGCCCGCGGCCCATGGCAGAGGTGGGCCGGGCTGGCCATTTAGAGGCTCGCCAGGATGGCGGGCCGGCCTGCCCCACGGCCCCGCCCCGCCAAGTGGCAGGTTTAGGCGGGCTGTGGGCCGGCCCGCCCCGCCGGCCCGTTTTGACATATCTAATTCTCTCCAGCAATAACTCAATTTCAAGCTTCACCTTCAGCATATAACCAAACATAACACACTCGTGAAGATAGCGAAGAAACAAGCTGACATACACAATCAACTCTATATTTAGTTCACTCAACAAATTATTTAAATATTTATTAAAATATAACACACTCGTGAAGATAGCAAAGAAAGCAAAGCTCGGACATACACGATCAGCTCTATATTTAGTTCACTGTAAATTTTTTATTTACACATTTATAAACACAAATTCCTGTGTGGGCGGCCTAATCTTCAGAACGGTCGACCCATCATACTTTGTGAACAAAAATGTTATGCACCGTTAAGCAGCCATACAATCTTACCATAACTACATATTTATATTATGAACTGGCATACTTTTAAGTATGACATTTGAGTATGAAAGTATGTACATATATTGCAAGAGTGGAGTAGCCTAATCATTGTGCAGACTAACAAAAGAACTACTGGATTTATATATAAATACAACACATTTTAGGAGTGTGTCACACTTCTATATAACTTACATTAACTATACAGATAAGAAGAAAAAAAATACAGGCAAGACGGCATTTAATAAGAAAGTCATTTGAGAAAGGTTCGCCGAACAGTTTCATTTCGGCAGAAAATTGATGCATTATTTTATAACAAGCAGAACACACATTCAAATCCAACACCACATTATCAAATTCTACCCAAAACCATTTCACATGGAGAATAATTTTCGACTTCAAATAGAGTATGAATTTATGTGGACAACTTGCGAATATTTTCAAATATATGTTTGGGACTTTGGAGTATCCCAAGCAACACATAAGCCTGTGTTTGTGTGTGTGTGTGTGTGTGCAAATAGTCAAAAAAGCACCTAAAACATGGAGCAATCTACGGTGGCATTGGACCCCCAAATCAAAACACCACATGCCTTTACAAACTCCTCAAAAGCAGTGAGTGAACTTTTTTCTAAAATCCATCCTAAAAAATTCCTCTGCTTTTCTACGCGGTAAGCATGTAAATATCAAAAAGAAAAACACAAACAAAACCAGAATTCAAAATTTCAAAAATTCAAATGACCCCTCCAATCAACTCACCGTGGATGATACTCGCAGCCGCAGCCGCAGCCGCCCTTCTCTTCATATCGCCAGCAGCCGCCGTACTCTGCCGAAGCTTCTGCAACAACATCCCCATAAATTACCCCTTTGCCATCGACGACGGCTGCGGCGCTGCCCAGTTCCGCCGCGCCCTCAACTGCTCCGCCGCGGGCCTTTTCTTCCTCACCCCCTCCGGCTCCTACAAGGTCCAGGCAATCGACTACCGGCGGCAGTCAGTGGTCGTGTTCGACCCCTCCATGTCTACTTGCTCCATCCTCCAGCCCCGCCGCGACTTCTCCCTGACCGAGATCCAGTCCGCCACCATCCCGCCGTCGCCGGACACCGTCTTCGCCCTCGTCAATTGCTCCGCCGACTCCCCCGTGCTCAACCACTACAGATCCCTCTGCTTCAACTTCTCCGGCCACTCGTGCGACGAGCTCTACACCGCCTGCACCTCCTTCAAACTCTTCCGCGTTCTCGCCAACGCCACCGCGCCGTCGCCGCCGTGCTGCTTCACGAGGTACGATACGCTGAGATTCATGGCGCTGGACATCCTGGACTGCACGCACTACACGAGCGTGTACAACGTGGACGGGCTGGCCGGAGTTGGTCCACTGGACTGGATGTACGGGATTAAGTTGACGTACAACTTGCCGGAGATGGGATGCGACCGGTGCGCAAGGTCGGGTGGTACCTGCGGCTTTGATGTTGAGACCCTAGGCTTCGTCTGCATTTGCTCTACCACGCTCAATACGACCAGAGATTGCGGTAAATTTATACACAGCAGCAAAAATTTATTTTAAATATGATGTGCAAAATGTTAAAATCATAAAAATATTTTCATATCACAAGTTAGCACATTAACTTTACCAAATTGACTTTTCTTCTACTAATTTTTTGATAAGTTTGTGTATTAAGTTTAACGAATATAAAATTATTGTATTATTGTTAAAAAATACCAAGTGGGTTAAAAATGAAATTAAGTACTTACCATCNCTGCAGGTGGTGTTATTAACAAAGGAAAAATCCACGGTCCACCTTCGACGATACTAGGAGTATTTCTGTTGTTTCTTAGAGTGATTTCCTATTTTTGAATTTGATTGAAGGAAATTTAATTGGTTTTGTTCACTAGTTGATTTTGTTCAACTCAAAACATTATATCGATTCATACGCAGTTATATTAATCAAATTAATTGTAACTCGAGTTGGCAATTGGATAAACTAATTGGAATTCAATATGGGCTCTCATCTATATCTATATATATATAATTGTTAGCATTTCATTTAATTTTACCTCATAAATAAAACTTAATAAATTTTACCTAATAAATAATACAAACTTTCCAAATACAAAAACCGTTACTTTTACAAAATACATCAATTCTAGACAGTTACAAAATCTAAACTAATGACCACTATTTTATCTAAGTATATCAATTTAGGTTAATTAGCTAAAAATGCTTACTTTTTTAATTTCTTATATAATCATTACTATGCTAACTTAATTACGAATTATTTATTATAGAAACTCATGATTACATAAGCATGTATTCAGAATATAAATTTTTAAAAAAACTTTTTATAAATGTTTATTTGGAATATCTATAAAAAATATTGTTTTTTATGATATCACTACAATAAATCATGGTGAAAATGGAAAATACAGCACATGTACAACATGGACAACTACACTTACAAGAATATAAAATAATTTCACCACCTCTGGAAATTGTATCATATAATAGTTATTATTACAATTAATAATTATATTTTACAGTAAATGATATGTGAAAGTTACATAAACATAAGAAACTATATTGTAAAAACTTTTTGTTCGAGTAATTTATTATAAAATCAATATAATATTTCTTTATTTGCTTAAGCGATTATTTTTTAAATAAATTAATTTTTTAATGGCATAGTAAAATTCCTTAAAATCGCATAAGCAATTGTTATAATAAATTTAATATTTTTTAGCTAATTAATTAGTCATAGTCCCTTAAAATTTTAAAAAATATATTATTTATTTTATTTTATGCAATCAATATAGTGATTCATATACAATAAAATCGTTATGTATTATTTATTTTAACGAATGATCAAAGTTTGAAATATAATACCTTTATCTAACTTATAATTTTAATATCATATGCATAAATATAACTTATAATACCCTATGTTTAAAATATAATATCATTATCTAACTTATAATTTTAATATTATATGCATACAAATAACTTATAATACTTTATTTACATCTATGCAAATGCACAGGATCGAATACTAGTGAAATTCAATTTGAGATGTTTGAGTGGTCTCGTCAAGGGATTTTGCTCGTCAACCTCTCAAGTTAAAGCTCAGACTCAAGATCGGCCAAAATTGAATGTGTTTATATCAAACAATTGGTCAAGTGGCCTGGTTCACCGTAGGTATGAATGCTCGTTGGGCGTCAATATACTCACATTTCGAGCCAATTAGCCTTGTATATGCAAGGCTTATCGAGCTCGAGCTCACGTAGAGAGCAAGTTAAAAAANAAAAAAAAAAAAAAAAGATTTGCTTAAACAAAACTTGTTTGGTTGTCAATTTGTTTTCATGGCAATAGTAAATAATCATCATCGCCATCCTCATTGTTGCACCCTCCATCTCCGTCTACCCACGTCATCCTCGACCCCATACGCTCTCCAATTCGTCTATCCCCATTGTCCTCCTATCTCAGCGCCATTCTTATAAATACCCACCGTCCCCTCCACCTCTGCAAAATCATTTCCTCCTCAAAGCCTTCTCCACAAACTTGTTGGAGCCTGGTAACAAAAAACAAAACATAAAAAGAAAAAAACGGTAATAAAGCACGACGTATATATTTAGAGTAAATAAAAAATATTGTTTGGAGCGATAGTGATCTACTAAATAACTCTGGGTTTGGGTCAACCAACCTTCTTTGTATCTTCAAATCGTTCTCGGCCTTTTTACCGAAAATACCTAAAAAAGCGTCGGGAGGATTCTTGACGTGGACTCTCTAACAATCAAGTTAGTCTTCCGAATATGAAAACGTGTGTGTGATTGTAATTCATTAGAGCATAAAAAAGAATAAGAAGTTTCGTACAGCCATAACTCAGTCCTTAATTCCATACATATAAAATACACGA